GTTCTTGAAATACACTGATCACCACAGCTATCACACCACTTTGTCCATGATTATAGTCTGCTCATTCCTCATGTATAAAGACATGAAACTTGTTTTGTGCATAGCTTTAAAGGAATGGCGTAAGATATCATTTTATGAATATGAGTGCTCTTTATTTTTATTTTTGCTAAACAGAAGCAAAAGTCAGAATGTTCCATGGAGCAACAGGAGATGTTTCTTTCTTTCTTTTTTTTTAAACTGACAGCACATTTGTGGATTTTAATGTCAACTTTCCAAACCATTTTCTTTCTTTGGATTTATAAGTTTTTTTGTTTTTTCTTTTTAAATTTTATTTTATTGGTACATTTTAGGTATACAATATAATGACATTCATCATTGGAAATTTGCACCTTTACATAATCTCTCTTGGTTCTTATTTTTTCCTCCTTCCCCTGCCCTCCCTTCAACCCCTCCATCCCTCTCTATTTACAAAGACTTTGTTTCCATCTTTTCATTTTCTCATATTAATTCCATTCCCTTCTTTCCTTTCCCCTACCCCTCCCACTTCCCCTTCCCCTTTGCCCCTTTTCTTCCTATTTCACATTATCTATTATACCTTTTAGCCCTCATTTGCACTTACACGTTTTTTCTTGTGCTTCAGAGATTCACTTGCCAGGGAGATTCCAGGCCTTCAAGGTCTTCTTGGATTATGGTGTGAGCCCAGTAGACAGCCTTGTAACATGCCCCGGCCTCATGGGGAGTTAATAGTGTAGACCGCACCAATTGTGTGAGATGGCATACAAGACCACACAATAGAGGGGATTATAGGGGAACAAAAATTTCTTTGCGTTATTTATAGTATCATTGTGGAGGGATGAAAACTTATAAGTCAGCTTTGCCTGGGTGTGGACTTGTAATAATCTACTCAAAACTTTAATTGTTCCCTTGATTTTGCCTTGTAAAAGCTTCTGTGGCTCCTGTGGATTATTACTTCATAATGTTTGGACAAACATCAATTAACATATATCAAACCAGTTCCATTTGTGTCCCTCTATGAATGGAGGGGACCCAAAAGACACAATAGGGCTGGAAACAGTCACATGGAGATTATAGGAGACTGGGCTGTGCAGACGACACAGGTGTGCAGCTAGATATGGGTTGGAAATATTGTGTTTCTCGTGGAGCTTGGGGTAATTATCAAGCCAGACCTCTAAAGAATAGCTCATTGGAAACCTTAGCTATTACAAGAACTCTTTCTTGAAACCTAGGAAATTAGTTGTTGAAAATCAGACAAAGCTTGTGAATCAGGCTGTTGAAATTGGATTCAGTGGAAGTTATATTAGTTTTCATAGTCATTTGAGAACTTTTAATCTTTTTCAAAGTTTCTCAGAGAGTTTAAGATGGGACCTCTTTCAAACAATATGAAAAATAGATTCTTAATATAAATGTTTGAAAATATTTATATAATGCTTAATGTCTAAGAAAAATAATCTCGTAGCCATATTATGTTATGGAGTATTGAATTTAAAAGAATTTCTTGTATTTAGGTTTGTTCAGTAGAAATATTTTCTATTCATGATGCCAATGCTGTATGCAACTGGAATAACTTCATGGCCAAATTCATGGTCTTTATCGTCACTTATAAAACCTTTACAACAGATTCTTGTCCAGTGTGAGAAAACGGCAGCTCCTAATGTCACTCAATGTGTGTTTGTCTGGTGATGTCTGTATTTACACAGAAAGCCCTTAGAACATAGCAATACTGTTATTAGCCCTGGGAAGGATTTGAAAGGGTATCATAGAGCCAACCAAGAATAATCTCTTTTGTAGGGTTATTTGAAGTATTATCACCAAGGCCTCATGTTGGGGAAATTTTATTAATAAGCTTCAGTACTTGAGTCAGGCCAATTTGCTGCATTCACAAATTCAGTTGATTAGAGTGGTGTTAGGCATACCCATTTTCCTAGATGATCTTAAAAATCCAATTGAAGGGTCATCTTTTGATTAATTTCTTTTGTGGATAATTGTATGTGTAGAAATTGCAATGATGACCTGGCTTTAAGGAAATAACGGTAACTGGGTTCTGTTCAATAAGATATAAAAAATCTCTTCCTTTTTTCATAAAGGCAGCTTCTTGAAATGTAAGAATAATTTTGTGGTCCTATTAAGATAGGTAGATTGAGTAGCATATACTCCATCCAGTGCATGAGGAAAAATCTTGGAGGGACAGAAGCATTAATAAGGCTACTTAATAATGCTTTCTATTAAAATAAGGGTGAATCTGACTTTGAAGATAGCTGGTTGTAAGGTAGGATACCACAACACTGGCATTTTTCACTTACAACAGATATTCTTCGATCTCCAGAGTGGATAAGTTGACCGTGCACCCTTCTTCAATCTTAGGCTGGCCATCTGTGGTGGAGGATGTTATGAAAGACTCCACCTGCGGCTGCTTGTGCATCCTCTATGTCTGCTTCACATTTAAATACTCTGAAAATAGATTTTCTCTTGTGTATATTTCAGCACCCACAGGTGGTCTCTTTCTTTTTTTTCTTAAATTCTTTTATTGGTACATTTTAGGTATACAATACATTTACATTTATCATTGGGAACTTGTACCTTTACATGATGTATCTTGGTTCTTATTTTTTCCCTATTCCCTGCCCTCCCTTCACCACTTCCACCCTTCCCTATTTACAAAGACTTTGTTTCCATCTTTTCATTTTCTCATAATAATTCCATTACCTTCTTTCCTTACCCCTACCCCTCCCACTTCCCCTTTTCACCTTTTCTTCCTACTTCACATTATAAATTATTAGTTTTAATCATTTTAATCCTTATTTACACTTTCAGTTTCTCACACCAGAGAAATGATTTGGTATTTACACGTGTGTCCTATTTATTTCACTTAAGAGTATGGCCTCAATATGCATCCATTTAGCTATAAATGCTCTAGTTTCTCATTCTGAGTAGTACTCCATTGTATAAAAAAACCCCAAAACACATCTTCTTTATCCAGTTTCCAGTTGGGCTGTTTCCAAGCTTTATCTATTATACCTCACCCCAGAAAGAATGGCTGCTATCAAGAAATCAACCAAAAACAAATGCTGGCAGCATTGTGGGGAGAAAGGAACCCTTTTCCATTGTTGGTGGGAGTGCAGACTGGTGCAACCACTGTGGAAATCAGTATGGAGATACCTCAAAGAACTAGGACTAGAGGTCCCATTTGACCCAGCTATTCCTCTGCTGGGTATCTTCCCCAAAGAATCATACCACACTGATATATGTGCACCCATGTTCATAGCAGCACAGTTTGTAATAGCTAAAGCTTGGAAACAGGTGATCTTTTTCAATATGATCCCTAATATCAATTAGGTTCTGTTATCTAAGTGGAGGGAAACCTATTTCATGAAATCATTAGATAGCATTTGTGTTGAATACAACACAATATTTACGGCCTACACTACTACATATATGAGACACTATCTTCTGCTCTACTATCTGTGTAAGACTGTTTTGATCAGTTTGTTCAATTGGAACATTGAAACTGGGCCATTGCAGAGTTCCAATATGGGCCTCAAAGAAAGCACCTTTGCCAAAGTTAAAAAAATAAACAAAAAAAAACACATAAGCTCTGAAGTCTGAGAGACTTAGCTCTTGATGCTTTCTCTGCTATGTGTATTACAGTGGTGTCAGTGACAAGGAGGAATAGTGTCCAGCATGGTTTTTTTGGGATTTGCTAGAAGCCCAAAAAGAGAGAGAAAGAGATTTTGAAGAAATGCCCATTTTTATTTTCCATTTCAGCTCCTTCATCCTGCAGTTTCAGTTCTGTTCTATCCAGAAGCACAATATGGGCTGATGCTTCCTGCATACGTTTTTTGATTGAGGATATAGATGGAGCCAGAGTGGGAAGAGAATAATAAGGGTGAAGAAAAATATGGAAAATCAATAAGATATTACCAAAATCATAGCCATTTATTTGTGAGATTCTTTTAAGGCTTCTCACAATAAAGAAGTACATTTAATTCATTTGAACAGGAAATTGAATTTCTTGTATATTTAATACTTTATTGAATGGATAAAGGCTCATATTGATTATCAAGCTTGAGTGAAACTTTCCTATGCTGCCTTTAAGAGGGAGCCCTGAGTGGGTTAAATTTAATCTATTTTGGTAAAAGCATTTATTTACAAAGATATTAGGCTTCCAAGGTCTTTTTATATCAACTTGCTTTTATTGGTTGCCTATCACATGGCTGTATCATTTTTAGATACTAAATGAAAAGCATGTGTAACAAAGTACAGAAATACACTTCTTGTCCATGTTACCATGGGTAATGTCCAATATGAAATATGGGTTTTCTTGAAGTGGAACACACTACTTTAATTATTGCATGCAGTTTGGAAGCATGAATATTTATACAATTACAAACTTGGAAGCATAGAACAAATTCGTTTTAGTTAGACTCTGACATAGGCATACTTCCCCCAGATCTAGTCTATAAATGCAGACCAAAAGATGAAATACTGTGGCAGCCCAATTTTTATTGGTTCTAGGGAAAAACTCTACAAAACTGGTCAAGTGAAATAGAATCATTTGTTAGTACTGAGGTCCAAAGTTGCTTAGATTGCTTTTTACAGTGTCCATTTTTACTGGAAGGATATTGTTTATAAGTTGTGTTCTGCTCAATTCTGTGTGATAAAAACACACACAACTAAAATTCAAAGCATAAATCATTCTTAGAATTTTTAGAACATGGGATGCCTCAGGATTTCTGCATGAAGAGTTGCAACTTTCATTGTATTGAAACATCACACTATATCCCACAAATATGTCAATTAAAAACAAAAATGTTAAATATATACATGTATAATGCAGCCATCCCAGTCCAAGTATCTATCCAAAAGAAATAAAACCATATGTCCATATAAAAAGTTGTCACTTTGCTAATTGTTTCATTTTTAATTTTCTAGATGAAAGTAGTTAAAAGATTTAATCACTTACCAGTTTACCCTGAGTATTTCTCCGGGACCTTTTTTGTTGATGTACTGACTATCCTGAGCATCACTTGGGCAGGTGTTATTTCAACCAGTCGATTCTTGTATTAAATAAATTTAATAAAATTTTCATTTATATATTTCCTATTATCCCTATTTCATGAAAATTAACAAAAATGTGCAATTTTGGCCATCCTGTATTTAAATAATTGGACTGGTAAGTAGTTAATTATTTTCTAGGTTTGTTTTTTTTTACTTATTCATTTATTTATGTTAAAATAAATTTACTTGAGTTCCTGTAATATAAGCTATTATGATTGTTTTTCATAGTATGGGGTTGTTCTTCCACAGAGCCACACCTCTGTTTAGTTTTTATTTTGAGATAGGGTCTCATTGAGTTGCTTTGGCTGGTCTGGAACATTCTTCTGCCTCAGCCTCATAAATAGGTAAGATTATAGGCATGAATAACTATGCTCAGCTTTACTAACATTTTATAACATTTTTCATTATTTTCATTAAGCCAATGAGAATAAAAATAGAAACATGAAAAATACATTGAGTTTGTAGCACTAGATTTATTGATAAGGGCATATATTTTCCTGGGAAATTATATCATTACACAATGATCAAAGGAAATCATGGTGTCAAAATATCATATTATTATGTGTGCAACATGACAAAGATGTGGAGGAAGAACTTGTGATGGGGTTTCTGGACCTCGAATTTAATGCAGTTTATTAAGCATTCTTTTATATACCAGGTAAAAGGCAAGAAATCTACCATTGAACTACCAGTGCCTCTTTGTATACCAGATGAAAAAAACCCTTAGTCACTGGCTCTTAAGGTTAGTTTGGGGTGGTGAATCAGCAATGAAAAATAATCATTTGGTTTGTTTCCTAATTGAGGCCAACAGTAGCAACAAATACTGAAGTCAGATGAAATGTCTGAATGTCATTTATCCTTTTCTTCCAGGTTTCTGTCCTCATATTGGTACTTGCCCCTATAAGTGAGGGGAAAGCCCAGAGCTGCTATAGAGCAGAGAAAGCTTATGTGGTAAGTTGGTTATCAAGGGAGACTCCATAAAAATCAATGACCCTATGTTATTTAAGGATATGTCATTCCAAGTTTGAAAGAAATGTTTTAACCTAATCCTATCCATCTTCACTTACCTGCTTCCAATCAGGACTGCTACTGATGAAGACCTAAAAAGATATGAGGACCTAAAAAGATAGATTTGAGCCAATAGGCAACACACAACCTGGCATTTGTCCTCTTAAAATGTTGTTCTTCCTGCATGTGTATCCCAATATTATGGAAAACATTTAGGAACTTCATCCACACCAGAGCACTTTTGTTTTTACTTAAGACATTAAAGAATTTGAATTCCTTTTGAAGATTTTTGTCTCATTCAAATACTTTGCAATCTTTCAGAGGTAACTGATTAAGATAATTACTGCAGAGCCTGAGACTAGGGGCATGAGAGAATTTTTAGCACACTTGGAAAATAAGGAAGATTGTAAGAAGACTTTTCAGGTGAGCCCTGAGTAAAATAATTAATGGGACTTGGCACTGAGCAGTGGGCTTGAGACTTACCTGCTCCATGTTGACAAGCTAGAGGGTTGCTGGTGTGGAGGGGTCCCCAGTGCTGCACTGCATCCTTCCCGGGTTACCTGTGCTCCTTGTGAGTGTAGAACAGCTGCTCACCATCCATACGATTCCAGTGCTTAATCTGCCAATTTTTTCTAGGAATGAAATAATCCTGATTCCTTTAGACTGTCATCATGGTGTCTGTTTGCTGGCTCTTTAATCATTTTCACTGAGTTCTTCTCCAAGTCTCCTCATCGCAATTCCAAACAGAAGCTCCAGAGTGGACTAAGATTGCTGAGTGCAATGGGAACACAACGAGACTCTTAAACGTGTTATTCATTGCCACAGCTAAGTTGCTGTACATAATCTTTTTTATGTGGTCTGATTTCAGTAACTGGGTTTAGAGAAATTACCAAAACAAAGGTAAATTACCAGTTCATACTGATTTTTAAAAAAATTCTGAAAGAAGAAATTTTAGGAGCATTCTGTATTTGTGTCTCATTTTCCTCTGAGTTCTTTTCTATGATGTTTTAATCTGCTCTTTGGACAGTGGATTATACTTGTTTCGATTGGAGTTGAAAGTAGAGTGGTGGCTTCTGATGCTGATGACATTTTTTCATTAATTCATTCCTGCACTCAAGAAATATTTTGAGGCCAGGCATGGTGGTGTATCTCCGCAATCCCAGCACTGGGGAGACCAAGACAGTAGGATTGCATGTAAGATCAAGGCCAGCCTGGGCTACAAAGTGAGTTTTAGGCCTGCCTGAACTACACAGTGTGATCCAGTTTCAGAAAAAAAAAAAGAAATATTTTGAACTTCTAGCAGAGTGTGAAAAGCTGTATTCTAGATTGTAGGGTTAAAATGGTTAAGAGACATAGTGCTACATAGGGCAAAGGAGAAAGACATTCATAAATAATTATATAATTTAATATCAAAATAGATGAGATAAAAGGAAGAGACGGAGTTCTATAAGTATATTAGAGAAAACAACTTGGGATAAGGCTTCCCTGAGGAAAAAGAAGGCATTTAATTTGAAGAATAAGCGAGTTATCTGAGCGAGGGGGCAACAGTGTCAAGAATTGCATTCTGTGTAAACAGCAAGTTATAAACATTGCATATTTAATACATGATTAGCAGAATTAAATTGCCTTAAATTTGTCCTGGCTCCTTTAAAATTGTTGGAATTTGAGTTTCTCATATCTCCTTCACCTTGTTATGGGGTTGTTCGGTTGAGTTCCTGCTGCAAGCTGATCCTGTGTTAAGGGATTTGAATACCAAAAGTTTGTATGGTGTTATATTATCTTCAGTTTCAGAGTCGAATGCTTTGATCTCTAAAGTGAAATGGAGAATTCAAAATAAGCTTCTGTAACAGTCTATTTGTCTAGCTCAGTCCATACATGGCTGAAAGTTTAGATATGCAGTTTTTAGTGTGAGTGTCTTTTAGTGGATATTTCTGGGACTTTGACATAGGTAGATAATCAAATATTTACTTTTAAAAGCTTGTTTGAAATTCTTAGAACCCTGCTTTAGTATTCCTTAATAAAAATAGCATTTAACATTCACGTTCAATCTTACCCTTTGTTTATTCAACACTTACTGCTTCTTCCATAAATTCTTATAGTTCTGGCTGAGTAGACTGCATTGTCACAGAGGTATAATATTCTTTTTCCTGTTTGTAGGGAATAGGTGCTACAGTTCCTCAGATTCTAAGATGATTTTACTGACAGGGCAGCCTCCTCACAAATTGGTGATAACAATATATGTTTCTGTACATATATGTCACTTGCTTCTGACCTCTTACATTTACTCATGGTTGTATAGTTCTGCTTTGATTTGCCTGACTAAAACTTCCTAAATTCCTACTTAATGAATCAAGATTCCCCTGATTCATGACTCTTGAATTTTGTAGTCCCTAGAATTTGACTTAGTCATCCTGACCAATAGCTACTATTTTAATGTCTTAGCTTAGAGCCCTGACGGACAATCCTTGCATGGTAATTTAAGATATACAGTGAACATTACTTTCTCACTTGCCTTGGGGATATGACAACTGTTTGATTTCAATCAAATCATTGTTAATCGTTGATAAAGGGAAACTGTAGGAAACCCAAAGGAAAGAGAACATGGCATGAAACATTGCTTATAATGTGGACTTTCTCTTTAGAAGAATTTAGGGTGTAAAAGAATTTTCACTTTCAGTAGCAATACCTTTGATTATGAAGGCTGTTAGTTGAATTGTCTCAGGGAGAACAATTTATACAATTATCCATCCATTTAGTAATTGGAAAAATATTTACTTATTTCAAGTGAACACTCCCATCTGTCTACTTTGAGCTATGGGAATCTTAGATGACATGAAGATACTAAGAAAATCTAGACAACCCTCATAATTATCCCGCTTCGCTTTCTCTCTTCCCACTTCTACTCCTAGTCTTCATTTCTTTTCATACTCAAACAATGTAACAAGTACTCAATGTGACAAAGACTTAGGAGTGAATTATTCTCTATTTTACTCTGACTCTTCTTTATGGTACACTGGCTTCTGGGCTTCCCTTCCTCATCCACCTATTTCCCTTATTACTTTTGAACTTTGTTAGATCCTTCACTGTGATAGTTACTTCTCTCCAAAAGTACAAAGGAGAAATTGAACATAAATAATATTTCCTGTAGTAGCTATAAGGAGTTTGTCAAACTGCAAAATCAGAGGGGAGAGCCTCCATAAGACTGATCTCATTTCAGATCCCAATCCCAAGTTCAAATCCACCTTCAGGTTGTTGATCTGCTGTTATGACTCATTCAACTCAAGAAAGTACTGTATTTGTGATTGCAGCTTCATGATACTGGAAAGAGCCAAATTATTACTGGGTAAAAGAAGAGATGTATAGAGCAGATTCTGGGGAAAATGAGCCTATGATCATTTTCTTACTATGGAACATGGAAGGCATTGCCTCCTCTTGGCTGCCACATGAGATAATATTTAAAAAGAGTACTGCCAACAAGGGTCACCTGACCTTCTGTGTCTGGAGATTTTATGGAGGTTTCATTGAATCAATATCCACATTTCCAGCCCCTCTTCTTCCCTGGAGGTTGAGTAGACACCCTGTATTCCAGGGAGTCCACTCTAAGTCACCTCCTCAGTATAAATTATCAGGTATGGTTGAGGGTCCATTATGGATAAGGAATAAGCTACTATCACAGGGAAATCTTAAGGATGTGGAAATTATGTCCCAGAAGTCAGGAACAAAGTCTTGACCTATCTTTAGACTGAGGCTAAATTAGTTATTGGATAGTTAAAATAAATTACAATAATCTTTACCTCTTTCATCTATTTATATAGCGTATTAGATACCATAACATATACCTTCAGTACATACATATATATACACATATATATGTAATATGATATAGATGTCTGTATAAATACCTTAGTGTTTGTATTACAAACTCCTAATAATACTTTCATTTGAGGAAATCTTTATGTAGTCAAGAGACAAAATGAGGTAAATCACCCTTGGAGGAATCACTATAAGCAGAGTACTAGAAAATTGACCTTATGCTTATTTCATGTCAAAATGGACCCAAATCTTTCATTTATATATTAATTGGAATCACCTCATTCCTTTACAATTTAACATTTATTAATTGAGGACATAGAGTAATCCACAGACTGTACTATGAATGCAGTGATGAGGAAAACATGGTTCTCTATCTTTGAAGAGCTAACCCTCTGTTGGAAGAGACAGTGAGAAAAATTATAGTATAACATAATAAGTGCTATAATAGTTAAGAATGAAATACCGTGGGGAACTAAGTTTAAGCCCTGTCATCAAATTCATGGGTCAAAATGGCATTCTAGAAATGTTTCTTATGTTTGTCACATGATATATATAATGAGGACAAATTCCAATACAAAAGTCAAAGTTTAATTATCAAGTTGGTGTGAACTTCTCTAATTAGTAGCCACTAAAATAGAAGTTGTTGGTAAATTTAGAAGTGCCTTTTAAAATTACTAAACTCTTATTTAATGAAAAAGCCATGATCACATTTTGTCATCACCTGGCAACAATGTCCTCTGTGTGTATCATATTTCTAAGGGAATTCATCCCATCTTTCCACTAAGTCTGTTTTGAGAACAAATTATTTGACTGGAATTCAACAGGCCTTAATTTTTTCCCTTGTATGTTCAAGTCAAGAGAAGGAATATAAGAATTCTTCATTCTGGTCAGCTGGGTATCTTATAAGCCTTACAATCACGTTTCATTACTTTCCTCAAGGATGTGCAAAATACTCCAACAAACTGTACTTTATGACCTAGATAAAAAAAGGAATCATATGTTTTGACATTTGGTTAAATAAAGTTAACATTTATTATATGATTTTTTCTTTTACTATTTCATGTGTTAAACTTTAGCAGTTTCAAGCCTTAGCAATACAATAGACATTAAAGGAAAATATCATGTAACTATGTATGTATACAGTAGCCATTTATATAGTATTGAATATAGAAATATAAACAAATTTTCTTAAAAAATTATCCTCCTAGAAAATTTTCCAACCAATTGATATCAAGATAATGAAAGATAATGTTGGAGAATGTGTTCTTCCAAGGACTCTGTGTTTTTCAGCTTATTGTATTCTCCTAACAATAAAGTAGTTATTGGTCTTATGAATTCTTTCTGAAAGTCTCTAAAGTCAATACTTTACCCTCTATTTTTGACTCAACTTGAGTCCCAGATATTAAGAAAAAGTTACCCAAGATTTGGAGGTAAAGAAAGATCTCGTGTCTCAAGAATGTAACTTTCTTTGACTTGCTGTTTATTGGTATCCACAAGAACATTTTGTTTGTTAGCATAGATCTTCAATTGTGGAAATTCAGGAAGGTGTACATGTTTATTTTCCTGGTTGTAATTGCAGCCCAGCAGAGAAGATAACCTTAAAGTATATGGTCTTTGGCTCTGTCAGAAAATAATGTGTTTTGTTGTTCTAATTTTAGCAATCTTATTCAATATTTTTTCTTACAATGACTCTGTGTATGTGTGTCAGTATGGTTCAATATAATGATACTGGGCTGGGGATTTAGCTCAGTGGTTTTGCCACCTGTGTGCAAGAGCAAGGACCCAAGTTCGATCCCTGGTACCAAAAACAATAGTAATGATACAGCAGGATAAATACGCTTTGTAGCTTGCTGATTTTCTTATTAATAAATTCAATAAAACTTTTGAGTATGTGTACAAGAGTTGTTTTGTCTTAAGATTCTGAAAATTCTGAAAATGTTTGAAACAAATAATCACTGTCTTTTATTATTATAATAGTATACTGCCTTAGCTCATTTTGGATGCTATAACAAAATACCATAAACTGGTTGGCTTATAAACAACATTTATATCCGCAAAAATTCTTCTTCCAAACAGGTAATATTTACTTACTGGGATTAGAATAGAGACATCAATTTAGGGAAGCTACCATTCAAC